GTTGATTTCTATTGCCGATTTGTCGCTGATAAATTTATAATTGTAAGGAAAGAAAGTGAGACTAAGGACACGTTGAATAGATTCAGTGAAGAACATCCTGGGATAAGATTCACTAAGGAAGAAGAAGAAAATGACTATCTCGTTTTCGGACGTCCATAAGGCTAAGCGAACAACGTATACGACTGTTTCGTAAACCTACTTCAGCTGGACAATATATTCACTTCCTGAATTTTTTGCCTCTACAATACAAACGTAATTTGGTTAGATGTCTGGTTCACTGGGCTAGAGTTATCTGTCCAAATGAGTTACTGAACGAAGAAATCTGAAACATTCTTGGTTTACTTTGCAGAAACGGATATCCGACTAAATCCGTGAACAACCACAAAAACTCTGCAAGTAAAAAGTCAAAGGTGCCAACTGTTCCCAAAAAATCAGTTATCAAAACGTCTGCTAAGGGCCTTCAAAAGGACTTTCAACGCAGCTAAGTTATGCTGTATATTCACTAGCCAACCAATACTAAGTTCAAGAAATAAAGACAAACTGTCCTGCTTCGCCTCTTCCATGTGTATTTCTCAGTTTGACTGATTGTGTGGAGCTGGTTCATCTGTAACAACAGAAGACAAGGGCCAGGCAACAGATCAGTTTTATTACGAAAACCAACAGGTATTTATATGTATTTTACGTACATTAATAAGGCTCTGCCCGCAGAAAGAAGGCGGTCTTCTGATTGGTTGTTTGCAAACAAACGCAGTCTTCTGCTTTCTCGTTTTCGATATTTCTCGGAAATGCGAGCCACTTGTCTGCGAATCATATTTGTCCACGTCTAGGTCAGCTGTGATCGGTTGTTGAATCAGCCTAGATTAATTTCCACCAATCAGCGTAGATCAATGTCTACCAATTGGCTAGCAGCTTGCTCTCACCACACATCGTCGAATTTCTGAATATCTCTTATCTTGTTTTGGCAAAGGTCCCAATAAAGCTGTGTGCATCTAAATATTGACTCATCTCATCGGTACTGGCTGGACATCAAGTTGACTGTAACAAAGCTTCTAAAGTTATCTATCGTATTTCACCCAAATTCTTTCAGGGTCTACAAGTAGGTTTTTTATATACGGCAGAGGCAATCGAAATTCATCCTAGCTAGCTGAATCCGTGCGTTCGAAAGAAACTTTCTTTGCTATGGCCAACTACACAATATGTATCAAGTTTTTGAAAATGATTTTTCCTTCCCCTTGTAAAAATCTTTCGACTTTTTTACAATTCTAGCTAATTCTACCAACTTGTTCTTATCTTAAACAATTCTTCGGAGTCATCCTATTTTTCCTAGACATCAAATTTCCTGATTATGTAATGACTTATTGTTAACGGCTATGAATTAACTTTTCTGGAATTCCGTAATTAATTCTCAACTGTCCTTCAAAACTTAGATATCTTGTTCCAGTCGTTGATAAGGAACTAATTGAAAAGGAATTCATATTTCTTCTCTCAATCTGGTTTTTTATAAATGCATAGATGGGAATTTGGAAATTGCATATTACATAATCCATGTCTATATATATATATATATAATATATCCGCAAGCGCTGTCAAACGTTTTCACTATTGACATGAGACGTTGAAAAACTCTATACATCAATGGTTTGTCTTCTCTTCCTGTCTTCTTGCGTCGCGGTTTCGACGGCACAGGTATCGCGTTGTTGTTGTTGTTAATAATAATAATGAATTGAACAGTAGGCTCGTGAATCGACTAGGTAGTAAATTCGTAAACGCAAACTACCAAGTGCACTAACGGTAATATCAATCAATGGTATACGGTGTTGTCTGTACACACATACACTTACCACTCAATCTTAACTTCTGTTATTGTTAAACGGTGATTTTAACCGTCATTGGCACAGTGGTTAGGACTCTCGCCGACCATGCACATGGTCCGAGGTTCGATCCCCTGCCGGCGCACACCCGATATCTATGGTCGGCCTGTGAAATTTGGGCTACCGATACCCATGCTGAAAATTCCATACCTGTAGCAAAAATACGGTGTGGAATCAAGCTGTAATCAAAATAAAAAAAATTACACTCGCCACAAATTGGTTTTGGTTGTTTCTGGCACACACACACGATTTGATTTTTGTTATTAGATAGTTGAAGGTGATCGGCAGGAAGCCTTGGAGATTGCAGATTCGACATTCTGACGAGTGCCAGCAAGCACGAAAACTATATCTAAGGCTTCCTGCCGATTGCCTTCAACCGTCTAGTAAAAACAATCCTGAGTATACCGTAATGGCGAGCCATCTAGTATGGTGGCAACATTGCAAACTTGATTAATAAAATTCAGCTTGCAGTAAACAAACGACTAGACACATGACACTAGTTAGTGTCCAGTCAACAGGATCTGATTTTAGTTTACATTGGTTTCAAGTATTACTAGTAAAAACAGAGACATTAGGCAGTTTAGCTATTCCCAGTTCTCATTTAGCCTATCGTATTATTTAATGACGTTTCTAATTAGTACATGACAATCGCATTTCATCAACTGAACGATGCAGGTATCTGTGATTTATTAAACATCATAAAGCTGTTCACTGTTGATGACAGCTACTGTAGAATTGTTGCTGAAGACTGTATTTTAGCACTAGTGATGAAAATAATGTTCATATATCTGAAGAAGGGGATAAAATTAACCGCTTCGATGGATCACGCTCATTTTATTTTGTCAAGAAATAGTTTTATTATACATGCTGTAGGAGAATATTGATGGAAAAATCCCATTTAGTCAAAGGGAAAGCCGATGCAAGTGAATTAATAGGATGTATAGACAATCATAACATTTCGCAACAAGTTGAGAATTTGGTTAATGCAACGTTTTAAATAGCTATAATGGTGGCAAATTAAGTGAATCGAAGTGAATCAAAAATTACTAACAATCGAAGTATCAGTGGATGGATATACAAGCTGAATTAACTACCCGAAAAATAAACAGGGTCAAGGTAGAAATGAGGACTATCATGGTATAATGCAGACAGATTAGGACTATGAAAGGCGTGATTCTGTAAACAGAACTGTCCTTTTTGTTTAGGTGCCCGAAGCTTGAGCAATAGAGACGTTTTGGACAGGGTATTTTTAGCCTTATAGATAACTTTAAAGGAAGAGATAAGGTATACACAAAGTGATCTGTGTCGATCAGATGTCCAGTTATTGCACCTTTCATACCTGCTCTTTCACGCCTTCGTAATCACACAGCATATTGTTCTAGCAACCTCCTGAACAAAACCCGCATCGAGCAACCTCCTGAACAAAACCCGCATCGAGCAACCAATGAGCTTAGCTCTACAAGGACACATGGACTTCTTAACAAATAAAGAGTTGATGAACACATTTCTCACCAGTAACTTGAAATTACAAAGTACCACTAGAAGACATCATACTAGGAGTGCAGCTACGTCTGTCCTCAACGATGTTTGAATTCTGGACAGTTGTCCTATTTAAGGGGAGATATATTTCTGGATAGATGGGGGAATTTCACGATTGAGAAGTTTCGCCCCACACCCAAGGAGTGAAGGTATACAGGTAACTCAGTCACAGTTCCAAAAACACGAGACATAAGTAGATTTGTTGAACTAATAAACTCAAAGGTAGTGTCAGCACAATTTACTTGGGAATCCGAAAGTCATAAAGGGGAAGCTAAGTGAAAGTATCTAGATCAATTTTGGCTCCGATGGTGGTGGTTCCCTTATTCGTCAGTGCCCCTTTGATGAGAACCCTATGAAATTTATGCGAGCTTATTGACTCAAATAGTCTCAATGTACCTATACCTACTAGTTATACTTAAGAGATGATACTGAGGTTCAAATTCAATGTCCAGTTTTAATTTAGCAGTTAAATATACCGACAGAAGGATGGAGAGGTAATAGGTTGTCCACTTGGTCAAATACTAACAGGTTACCTGATAGTGACATTTGAGCCCAGTTACCTGCAATCCGTCAGTTCAGAGTTTAGATGTTAAAAATGAAAGCTATATTTATCGTCAACGATAAAAATACTGGGCTAAACGAATTCTGGAAATCTTTAACAACGCTCATGAATCAGCCGAACTTAAAATTCAAGCTGAATCCTTCCTGGATGTTCAACTTTCAAGTCGAACACACAAATCTATACAAAGATCAGTTTGCCGAAAACCAAAATCGAATGGAAAGATGACAGATTCCCACAGTATCATTAGAAAAAGCAGGGAAACAAATATCATTCTCACTGATGCCAAAAGACCCAATCGTTTTTGCACTACATACAGATTGAATAAAGGAATGGAAATTCTTCGGAAACATCCTAATTAAAAATAGATATCCAATCTCATTCATCTATAAACATTGAAACAGAAAACTGATGCTCCATGAAACCTGAATTTTCCAAGGAAACAACAAATTGAAAGTGTGAAATTCAAGAAAGTTACAATTAGTCTTCTCTAAAGCTATCTGTCGAGAGCAGTTCAAAGAACGTTCAACTGCTGCATTTCTGCACCTCATCTTCTCCACACATGCTCTTGTTTCTCAAAACATTAAAATCAAGATTCCATTGGTGGCAACTTTATTGAGTATTTCCTGTAGAGTGAAATATTTGGGCCGTACCAGCCTTATTTCCAAATGATTATTCCTTACTTCACTAATCTTGATGTCACCTTTCTCGATTGTGTAAAAGGCTGCTTGTCACTCCTCGAATTGTCTTTGAGACTACGTTTTATTGGCCTAAATAGCTGCACACCTTTGAAGGGAAGTTATGAAAAGAAGAGATCTGAATTTCTGACTTATGTATTGTTTAAAAAATTAATCCTAAGTCTGTGATGTAAGCGAAATATTATCAACTAACAGAATATACTTCTAAATAACATGAATGGCTGGGTGTCCTCTTGAATAGTCTACGTTTTCAGATTATCTATACAAATTACCAACAAATTTTGACAACAGCCAATAGCATCAGAATATCTGTAAGTACTTGATGATGATTGGCTACACGAAGTCTATTTCATCACACGCCTAAAAAATACTGACTTCATAAACGTAGAGTAGATGATGCCTATGAACGGTGTGCTATTCTTATTCACCTTACTGCTTAACTATTCAACCCGAACTCTAGCATTAATTCCTAAACCAACAAACTATGCCAAAACTACTACAGCTTGTAATCTACCCTTGGATACTAAATTTCAACATGATTATCCATCGTGTTACATACTGACAAGTTGTTTAAAGAGATTTGAGTCACGATTAATAACAAAGCATATGCCTATGCCTGACGTCAACTCAGACGATTGCATTATAGACAGTATAAACATTGAGATAAGGAATGGGTGTGATGAAAGTGAGTATGGCGTTTGGCCTAGTGAGTCAATGGATGAATCCTGTAAGCATCATCGTGAAACACTGACTAATCTACTTGGTTTTGTAGATGTTATTAGCATACAAGAAGGTGAAATTAAGATAAGCTCGAATGAAATATGGGGTACTATGCGTGCATTGGAAACTATTCTTCAACTGATATATACAAATAATCTTGGTGAGGTAAGTTTCGTTTTACCTGTGCGTCCTCAACTTCCACTTACTGTGTTTTTAGAACATTATATTCAAAGGCCTCATAGAAGATAATCCCAAATACTCGTACAGGGGATTGTTAGTGAACACAGCGAAATACTTTATACCTATAGATACTTTACGAAGAACTATAGTGAGTAATACTCCAATACTCAATGATGTGTTTTAGGATACCATGGCAATGGTAAAGATGAATGTTCTACACTGGCATATTACAGATGATGAGTCATTCCCGTATGCTTCATCTGTATATCCTGAACTTTCAGAGAAGGTAATTAGAGCAACTGAAATTGATTATCTTCTTGTTGACAGGGTGCTTTTCATCCACAAACCTGTACATACAATGAATTAGATATCACAAGTCTGTTAGAATATGCTCGTTTACGTGGAGTTCGTGTTATTCCAGAGCTGGACACACCAGGTAGGTAAATGTAACTGATTTTATTTGAATCAACCAGTAACTACTTTTATACTTGTGAATTAATAATCTCAGATTTTTTTGATTGTTAAATGTCAAAGTTGATCTGATAGTAATACACTGTACGGTAAATACTATTGATCAGAACAAACAGTTGTCGAGGCCTGCTAGTTTGATCGGGGTCAATTTGATTATCGGAACATGAGAATTTAGCTAGAGCTGGCATGATTGATGACACTAAATTAAATAGTATGGTAGAAAACTCAGCCAGTGAAATGCATTCACTCTCATGGGACCACAAAATAGGGTGCGATAAGGTGTTAGATAGAGAAAGAGATTCGTCACTGAAACTGTGTTCATGGAGTCAATAGCAGGAATGTGCAGTCTAAATGACGCAATGCCTTTATCGAATATATGTTAAATTACAATAGAAGAAGTCGAGAGTAAGACTGTAAATTTATCAAGTTTTATGAATACATGGATATGATTAGCAGCTCGAAATATTATGCTGTAATAAGTACTATTCACTGCCTTCATTTGGCTGGGGTGTTACTCACGAAACTCTAAAGGGACAAATGACAACACCTGGCACTCACAACCTGACTAGTGAGTACACAGATCTACCCAAGTGAGCCTGGAGACCCTCCACCCATTCGAAACTCATATGGTACATGGGCTCCAGAATTCAAACGTATCGAAAGGCGTATGAAACCATTCTGGTTACCAACAAACTGAGAACTCAATTCCTCTGGTGTCTTGTGGGTCAGACTTCAAGTCAAACGTTCAGCGAGTCGGGCCCCTTAACAACACAATCATCTGCTTCAGTCTGTATGATTGAGCAGGCTCTGATCCCTCCTACAAATTATGACAGTCTATTATTTACTAATTTTTATATTTAGCATAAGAACTTGGTGTTTTGTAGATGTCACGAGATGGGTTTCTGTAATTGGCAGGCAGGTACAATTTGTGTTTTTCTAATTGATTGAATCAAGCAACTAATGCTAAAGTTATGTATACTTGTAACGACAGAAGGCAAGAGTCAGGCAACAGATCCTTTATTAAGGAAATCAACGCATATTTATATATTTGCATGTACATTACTATGTATATTTAAGTAAACAAACACAGTCTTCCGATTGGTTGTTTCTCACGTAAAGTTAATCTTTCATCTATTTGTGACTGTTTCTTGAATGTCAAATCCTCTATATGTTAACTGCATCCGCCTACGCAAAGTCTGCTGTGGTCGGTTTTGAATCAATCTTTGTTCACATTTTCTCACGACAAATCTTGGAACGTAAATATTGACGTAAATTACTGTCTACCAATTTGGCTAGTAGACAGCTCTCACCACATACTGAGTGAAAATTAATGAACAGCCAATGATATGAGAACACTTTTACAAACTGTCATAGTTTGTAAGAGGGATCGGAGCCTGCTCAGTCATACAGACTGAAGCAGATGATTGTGTTGTTAAGGGGCCCGACTCGCTGAACGTTTGACTTGAAGTCTGACCCACAAGTCACCAGAGGAATTGAGTTCTCAGTTTGTTGGTAACCAGAATGGTTTCATACGCCTTTCGATACGTTTGAATTCTGGAGCCCATGTACCTATGAGTTTCGAATGGGTGGAGGGTCTCCAGGCTCACTTGGGTAGATCTGTGTACTTACTAGTCAGGTTGTGAGTGCCAGGTGTTGTCATCCGTCCCTTCGTTTTTTGACTAACATTCTCACCGCGTGAAGTCAGAGTGAGGCTACGAACGCGTGGCTACATGACAACATTTTTAGAGATAGACTGAAGTCTACCCTCCGTTGACCTTGATACGTATTCCGTGATGGCGTCGTGGCATGTAGCATAAATTTTAAAATAGTTTCTTTGTCCATAATGTGTTATGTTGTTAGTGATGTCAGTCAGCTTTGTTCTATTCTTCTCATCTAATCAGAAGTAAAATTTTTCTTTGTATCCCTAATTGCAGGACATACACTTTCGTGGGGAAAAGCATATCCCGATCTGCTCACAGAATGTTATGATAAGTCTGAACCAGATGGAAATTTCGGTCCTTTGAATCCAGCAAGACAATTCACCTATGAGTTTTTAGAGAATATTTACAAGGAAGTCATTCTCAGATTTCCCGATGGTTATATTCATCTAGGCGGTAATGATATCTATCTACACTGTTGGTGCGTTTCTGTTAACCTTTATAGATTTTTTTGAAAGAAATTATGCAAAAATGGCTCCAGGTTGACAAAGGTGAAAACACATACGTTTGTCAGAAAGGGAATGTAACAGTGAAATTGTCTCTGGTTTTTTGATTTCCTGTTGACATATGTATGAGCGAAATAGATTAGCGTTATCTACGCATATGATCCGCTCATTCCAATGCATCGATAATAACACAACTAATAGGTCAAAACTGCTTGTTCAGTGGTGACTTATAGTGGGATATAAGATGTGGCTTTCGTCTCATTTGCTACATATCAACTGCATGTGTTAGCTTGTCTGTGAGTGATGGTATCATCACTGGAGCTCAAACGCAAAAGCATTATCCCCTCTTATTGATATGAGTCCCGAGTTGAACACAGGGCTTCGACAGCACATTTCCACTTCAATATGTTTCCATCAGTCCTATTAAGTTGACTTAACGATAGCCCAATGGCTGTCATGTCCTCATTATGCGATTTCCCCTATGTCACACTTGGACCTACTCCCAACTCGTCGTTCCCTATCCAGTTTCCACTTGACGAACTGGCGTGTGACGCCGTTTGATGGTTTTCTCAGAGCTTTCCTGATTCACCTGTAATTTATTTTATTATACTATGGGTTCTTGGTTGGTTTGTTGCCAGAGTTTCCTGTTTCTAATCCTTCCTTACCCCTCTCATCTTCAATATGAAGTGAATGCGATAAAAGTTTGCAATATCCTGTTGCAATTGCTTTGGGTGACGCGATCATCAAGTTTCTGAAACGTATAGGGGAACTGATTTGATATTGGTGTTGAAAATCTGAGTCTTGTTCCTTATGCTGAGTACAGCAGACTCTCACACTAATTTCAGCTTAATGAAGGCATTTCCATATTAGACAAGTTTATTTTAAATATCACACAGTGATGCAGCATTAACAAGTGCATGATGTTTTGAGCATAAATTATTGCTCACAATCATATCAATTTAGTAACATGGCATTGCATCACCCATATCGGGAATATGGAAAGTGGCAAGAAACTGTGAAGGAAAGATGGAAAGAAAGAAATAGACAAATTGTGAAGCCATTAGACTTAATTGATATGATTAATGGCAATAATTTTTTTATTCCTTTATGTTCCAAGTGGAACATCGGGCTTCAATCTAGAGCTTTGAAGTTTCTGTAGCAGTGCTGTTTATTTTTACGGCAAGGGGTTGCTAGCTTCATGCTCAACCTTCTCTCTTTACCAGTCTTATTCTGGCTTATCGAGGTAAAGGAATGCGTCGGCTAGGGATCGAACCTTGAACCACATGCGTAGATGGCGAGAATTCTACCGCTGTGTCACCGACGCAGTGTGTCCCAGTGGCTGAATGGTATTCGAGCTTGCCTTGTAACTCGGAGGTCCTGGGTTCGAACCCCAGTGGGTGCATACTGTCGAGGAGCAATAATATATGCTCGCAACATCATCCAGTTGTTAATATTGCATCATCACTATGTGATATTTAAAATAAACTTATCTAATATGGAATTACATTCTACCACCACAATAATTAATGGTCTGTCTGTCTTGCATTTTCGATTCTGGCTTTGATACCATCGATGCTGCCTGAGATGATGATGCCTAAATAAGTAAAATAATTGACCGTCTTCAAATGTTTTTCGATTTATACTGATTGGTTGTTGTTGGCAGTCGGGTGACAAGGCACTATTCACTAGGCATTATTAATCCTGATAATCTTGGAGCATTCGTTAAATGAGCCGACGTAACTGAAGGAGGCCTATCCATTCACTCCACCTATGCTAACAGCAAATCACAAACATAGCATGCAAAGGTGGCACGGCGGTTAGGACGCTCGCCGACCATGTACATGGTCTGGTGTTCGATCACCCACCGACGCGCAACTGATATCAATGGTCAGCGTGCTAAATTTGGGCTACCGATATCGCATGCTGAAAATTCCACACTTGTACATAAATACGGTATGGAATCAAGTTACAATAAAATAAAATGAATAAATATATAATTTCAAACCTTATCTGTTGTACAGAAATCAGCTATCGTGGCTTTGATGTTTGAAACAATGTGTGCTGCGTTTGAATCACAATGGGCTAAGCAGCACTCGCGAGAGATTCAATAGCATGCGGCTTTTAAGTGAAAAATGAGCCGAAATCCACATACTTGACTCCGTTGCTCGCTGTTATCAAAGTCGGGTCATTAAAATAATTCAGCAACTAAAACTTTATGTGGACTGAGAAGACCGTCCAGTGATGACACTTTCCAAGTCCTTCAGTGGGACCCGAAATGGATATGGTGAGATAGGCATCCGAGTATAAAATGGAGGAAATCGTGTGAGGTGGCAATTATGGGGCAGCTAAAGATAGCTGCAGAAAACAAGATGATATAAAGTTGTGCTGTTGAATCCTTATGTTCCACTCAGAGCCCAAAGGAATAAGAATACTAGTTTCCTCTCCGTAGTACATTTATACAAACACCTAACATAATTCACTTTATAGCATTAAAAACAACAGTGATTCTTCTTATTTTCAGGAAGTCGAATCCAGAAATAATTGAATTTATGGAAGAGATGCAATTTGGTAATGATTACTATAAATTAGAAGCGTATTATATGGAAAATCTTGTACAGATTGTCTTGAATGCAACAAGTCCTGAGCCCACAAATACACCAATTATATATCAAGAGATATTTGAACATGGATTTAACGTGAGTGAAATGAATTGCTCTAATTTGTTTAAAACCCATAAATATTATTACTTTTCTCTTGGGTTCCCAGTGGAACACAGAACTTCAACAACACATCGTCATTCCATCCTGTTCTCTGGAGTCCTTCTCAGCTGCCCCCTTGAATGCCTATAAGCCTTCATATCCGTCGTAGATGATCTTCTTCATGTTATTTTTGGACTACCCAACTCGTCTCCTTTCACCCACGTTCCACCTGATGGCCTGACATGTGATGCCACTCAGAGTTCTTCACAGTGAGTTTTCTATCCAGCGCCACATTTTCCTGCATATTTGTTGGACAACAGGTTCTTGGTTAGTTCGTTTCTAGAGTTCCATGATGCCAATCCTTTCTGGCTATCTGACCTTCAGTAGTGAGAGAAGATAGCTGACTGATTCTTCACATTCAATTGTCAACAGCTAAGCTGAGATCATGTTTGGATAAATGTACTTTATTGAAATTGATATTCATTAACATAATTCTTAGATGATCACCAGTAGTGCTAGTATATTATACAGTACACACTGCGTATCATCCGTCAGTGTTTGAGAAAGCGATTAACTCTGAAGTGAAATTTTGTGCAAAATTGCAGCAGTTCAAGTTACCTCATTTCATAAAAGCACACACAAATTCCATATTAATTTGTTTATAGGATATATCACATGGTGAAATAGTATTATTTACCGGATTACATTTCAGACACAATTTTTCGTTCATGATCATAGTGGTAGTAGAATTTTCTAGATTTCCGGGACAGGTGTTGAATCATTTCCGTTGCACTTATTCCCAGTTTATTCTGAAAATAAACCTCCTATCGTCAATATCTTCCTCTACCCTGCTATTTTATTTTAGACTACAAGACTGTGTGATTGTGAGTAAATGCATGTAGTGCAAGAGGGAAGGTATTCACCAGATTTTTTATCTCATGAGAGTCAACTAATCTAGATTATGCTACGTTGTTATACTGTACTAATAAAGGAAGCTTTAATTATTGAATCAGCTGAAAATACAAGCGGCAGGGATGATTCGACACCTGTCCCGGACATCTAGAAAATTTTTCGGCTCCTAAGATAAATAAACAGAACTGTAAGTCTCAGATTTCGAAGTTATGTGGTAACAATTCACAATCTTATGAACAATAAGTAGTCTCTAAAACGTCTTCTAGTGAATAAAACTGTCTCACTGTGTGATACTCATTGGGAAAAAGTGCTTGCCAACTACGTACGTGGTCCAGGGTTCGATTCCCTACCCTAGCCATAAGTAAGTCCGGTAAGGAGGAAAGGTTTGCCATCAGGTTAGCGACCCCATCGATTGAAAAAATACCACTACTACTGAAACAACAAACCTCAAGCTTGAAGCCAAATGTTCCACTCGGAACTCAAAGGAACAAAACAAAAAATATTAAAATAATACGGACTACCACAGTGCCTAAGTTTTACGCACAAATTAATTAAATAAGAAGGTAGAGAATAACAGTGACGGAGAAATACTACTTTTTTATTCATTCAAGTTCGGAGTGAAACATAGGGATTCAAGCTAGAGCTTTGAAATTTCTGCAGCAGTGGTTTTATTTCTGCGCAGTAGGGTTGCTAGCCTCATGCTCAGCCGTCTTAGCTTACCTACCTTACTACCGGCTTAGCGAGGTTCAGCAGTGCGTCTACTGAGGATCGAATCCTGGACCATATGAGCCGTGGGTGGCCAGAGTTCCACCTCTGAACCACTGATAAACTACAACTAACCGAAATGTATGATAGGATGAATAACTACATGGAGAATAATGAGAATTTCATACATATGGAAGTTCATATAGAGTAAATGTACTTGCGTCACTGAGGCACATTCCAAACCGTGTCACTAATGGTCTGTGGCTGTTGGTTCCCCGACAGCCATAACCCACCAGTATGCACCTTCTTATATCATTCAGACCGAAAGTCGAAAAATTTATAGACTGATGTCATGTTCTGAATTGACCACTCCTCACTATTTTCCAACATGTCACCATGTTATCTGACACTATTTGACAACTGTATGGATGTTATGCACATTAACGGATCCATCAGAAAGAGAAAAGTTTGTAATACCCCTTGATGCCTCTTCACGATCTCCACCTATGCGTCCAAACTACTGATACCCGTACTGACGAGTTTTATCGAAAGCCCCCTAGTTCCCAGCTAAAATCTAAGTTCGAAGATATGCACTTTCATTACTCACTAGTTGGAAGTATTCTGTAGGAATTATATTATCTAAAAACGCCTTTATTATTACTGTGCTTAATACAACGGAAATACTTTTGCGAAAATGTGTCTTCATAATCCAAAATAAATCTCGAATAAGTTTGTGGATAACCAAATATTGAGAACACGGAAAGTAGAGACAATCTGTGCTGCACAGTGCTTACGAAAAACTTAACACTTCCTGCAGACTATCAAATGAAAAAGATTTTAAACTCCCAGCGGAAACTTCAAATTCAAAACTCAAGTTGATTTTTGTCAAAATCATCCTCACCACTAATGAATCATTCTGGTCTTGACTGTGTTGCTTAACGAATTGATTTTCTGTAAGCAAGCTCTTGTAAATAGGTATTCAGTGATCCAGAGTTCATGTGGTTCTACCTTACTCAGATGAAGTATGCTACAATAGTGTCATCCGATTAATTGTATCTAAAGGCGAAGTTGGAATCAGGAAAGGCAAATCATGTTCTGACCAAATTGCAACTCTACGCATCATCATCGAACAAAGCATGGAATGGTAATCAAACCTCTACCTCAACTTCATAGACTTTGAGAAGGCCTTCGACAGAGTTGACCGCGAAATAATTTGGAAACTAATAAAGTACTACGGCGTACCCCAAATATTCATCAACCTTATTCAACAGCTGTACGACAACGGCACATGTCAAGTGATCCACAACGGAAAACTCAGCGAAGCGTTTGGAGTAAACACAGGAGTCAGACAAGGGTGCTTATTATCACCAATGATATTCCTAATTGTGGTGGACTGGATTATGCGTCAGACAGTGGGGAACGAGAAGACAGGGATATCCTGGACCGACGTGAAGAACCTAGAAGACCTGGATTTCGCAGATGATTTATGTTTGATGTCACACAAAATCGAAGACTGACAAGCGAAAACCGACAAACCGGTCGAAGAGGCAGCAAAGACAGGACTCCAGGTGAACCTGGACAAGACGGAGGTTATGAGAATAACCAAATAACAACAACAACAGCAGCAACATCCAGCGCCAATCACCATCAACGGGGGAGTTTGAAAGAGGTTACTTACAACTTTTAAATAATTAACTAAACTATAAAATGTAATGATGCATATTATTGCATGTGTTATTTGTTATATTATTTATTTATTATTCACTATGACCTAGAAATGGTGTGATTTTGTTGGGGATTTTATTTTTCCTATCAAGTATCAATATTTTAACATTTTATACATTTATATAATTATAAACAGAGCTAAACCATTGCAATATGTAAGAGAAACGCTGAAAATTCCATGCTGTAAATTGTTATTGTTGTGGAATAAAGTGAATTATTATTATTATTACTTCATTCACTTATCTAGGGAGCATTGTCTCAACTACAGGAGGAACGGACGAAGATGTCAAATTAAGAATCGGGAAGGCGAGAAACACATTCATCAACCTGAAACCAATCTGGAAATCTTCGTCACTCAGCCTGCATCAACAACAAAATTCGGATTTTCAATACAAACGTCAAGTCAGTCAGTTCTTCTATACGCATCAGAAACTTGGCGGGTCACAAAGAATATTTTCAACAGCCTGTTGCAGACCCTTATCAGCAACTGCCTTCTTTCAATACTCACGATCAGATGGGCGGAAAGAATCACCAACAAGAGATTATGGGAAGAAAGAAAACAAGAACCAATCACCCAACAAATATGCAGGAGAAAGTGGAGATGGATTGGACACTCGCTGAGCTGAGGAGGCCGTTGGGTGACATCGCACGTTAGGTCATCGCTCGAGTGGAACCTGAAAGGGAAGCGGCGAGTGGTTCGTCGGTGCAAGAGTGACATGGAGGAGATCGTGTGAAGAGGAGTTGAAACAGTATGGACTAACATGGATGCAAGCGAAAAGTACAGCAGAAGACAGAAACAAGTGGAGGCGTGCAGTTGAAGCCCTATGTTCGACTAGGAACCCAAAGGAACAATAAAATAATAATAAAGGGTGAAGTTGATGAAAGGTGTTCCGTTGTTTTGGTTCCTCAGCCGGATGTTTCTGCATTGTCATTGTGTGATTGTATTCCCAATAAGACTCAAACCCAGTGCCTATCTTTCCGAATACGTTATCCAACAGGCCACTTGGGCCACGGGAGCCACCTCCGTTGACATGTCGGCTCCATGAAGCGTAGCCTAGTGGATAATGCTGTATCGTGTGAAACGATGGGCTCAGGGATATAATCTCACTGGGAACACCATCATTCATTTGAGGGTCGGACAATTCCAGCTGACGAAATGCGCATCCTGGATTCCACTGCTAATCACTACAACCAATCAAAGTAATATCATATTAATCTTTAGACATCATTCAACTGTCCATACTTAAGGCTAGGATGTCAAAAAGTACCCAATATTTCAGTCCAATGAGACTACTCAGTGGAAAATACTGAATTTTATGCAGTAACACAAATCTATGACATTTTATCCTTCATTCCTCATTACGCTTTATTTAGAATAATTGACTGTGTCGTAGTACATTGAGAGATTTTTTCAACATTATTATAGCAAGAATCAGACTCAAATTCACAACCATCCTTCCCAGAAAAGTACACTTTACGAGCCTTTCTCGGTACTTATGGTACTTATTGAGCACCTCTAACAGTACAGTGAAAGGCTTAGCAGGCGAGAACTTCTGTGAAGTTTGAAAATTCAGGATAAATGTTTTCAAATAGCTGACAGAATAAGAAAAAAAACTTAAAGATTAAGGTTTCTTAGAATACTGATGTATTTTATTCTGACTAAACTAACTGACATTTTCAATTCTAAGCTTTAAATCTGTGGTTACAAACACGACACTTATAGGAGTACTCAGACTTTGAATATGTTCTTCAGATTTCTGTGTAATCTTACACTAAACATTACCGACAAATGCACCCTCTGTCTGAAGTTCTCCTTGAACACCTTTTCTCATTTCATAGGGTGATAACAGTACAATAATTCATGCATGGATCTCAGAAAATTGGAAACCTGTAGCGAAAAAAGCCACTGAAAAAGGGTATAGAGTGATTGTTTCCGGTGCTTGGAATCTTAATTCTCTGGTATACGAAGGTGACTGGGTGTGGTATTATAAACAGGATATCAGGGGTTTTGAAGGTAAGTAAGTCATGTTTCAAGTAATATTTTCTGGTTATTTGTATGCATTGAGAAAGATTAGGTGTGATTTAGTTTTCGTGTTGCATATTATTAATAATAATAGTAATAGCCAGCGTTTTATGTTCAACCTAAGGAAGTGGGGTTTTCAGCCTTCTATATTTGATAGCAAATTTTCATAAATAAGTTAGTTGGTATCAAGAGAAGTTACAAAGTAATATTGATAATGCGGTGTTTGCCACTGATGATTATCGTAAATCTCCATCATCAATCTCATCCAGTAACTATACTATGGCGTCAAATGCCAAGTAATTCACAATGGAAAGCTCAGAGAATCTTTTGAAATGAAGACAGAGGTAACTAAAGACTGCCTACTATCAGGGAACGATATTCCTGATTGCAGTGGACTAAATCGTGCGAGGAACCGGAGGGACCAATAAGACTGGTATAAGCTGAACTGAAAAAAGACCCAAGAAGATTTGAACTCAGAAGGCGATTTAGGCTTAATGTCACACAAGTTGGCATAAGAAGCAGAGATGACGTCCGTAAATGTGGACAAATTCCTCTGGTTAATTTTGTTTTAATTTTATTTATATTTTGAGCAGATCAGATGCAATATTGTGACAAATGCTGAGAATTCCATTCTGTATCATAAGTACTGTTTTTGGAATAAAGTAGATTATTATTATTATCATTATGATAGGACTTCAAGCAAACATAGAGGAGGCAGAGGGGATAAAGATACCTAAACAACAAGAACAACTAAAAGAGGCGTCAATCACTTTCAACAGGAAAAATTTGAAGGAAGTAACCACTTTCATTGAAGTATCGGTAGTTGAGTGATAGAATACTCGCCAACTACTCACGTTGTCGGGCGTTCGATCCCTGGCCAATCCACACCTTATCCTCAGTGAAGTGGGAATATTGGGTGTAAGATTAGCAACCCCACCTCGTGAAAGAAGAATAGCACCACTGCTACTGAAACTTCGGAGCTCAAGCTTGAAGCCCTATTTTCCAATGGGAATGCAAAGGAATAAAGAAAATTCACTTTCACTTTTCTATGCAGTATCGTTCCAACTACAGGTAGAATTGATGAGCATGTCAAAGGCAGAATTGAAAGTTAAGATAGACATCCTTTGTTCTGAAATCAGTGTGGAAGTCCACTGCACTCAGCATAAAGAACGAAATTCGGATTTTTAACACTAATTTCTATTCACTGCCTCTAAACAGTTCAAATACTTGGTACGTTACGAAAACCATTTCAGAAGGTCACCGTGGAATTTTATCAACAGCTGTCTTCGCTCAACACTAAATATTTGACTAGCGACAAGGAAGAATGGTGATGAGCCAACCAGGATAAAGTGGAGATGGATCGGGCACGCACTTTGCAGACGACTGCGTGACATCACGTACGACGCTTTTTAGTGGAACCAGTATGGGAATTCGGACGTCTGAGAGTAATATGGGGAGATTATGTGAGGACGTATAGAAACTTAATGAGACATGCGGGGTTCAAATAAAGAAAATTGCAGTAAACAGGGTGGAATGTAGACGTTCTAATGAATCCTTATGTTCCAACTGGAATCCGGAGGAATAATAATTAAATATATATATATGCCAATGACGAGAAGTTTCTAGTAATATATTGTATATGATGTCTCCTGCAAAACTCTTGAGTACTGGAGAGACTGATTAACTTTCGAAAAGGAGAGATGAAGATGATTGTGAAACATATATGGGAGGCGAGAAATTAAGAAAAAACAAGCGGAAACATAAGAAATTTCTCAAATTGAAGTCTCAGGGCAAGGTTTTCATACAAGTTTGTATCATTGCCTGGCACAAGATATTTCTTACGGGATACTCAATTTCAACTGTGGCAACAGTCCATGAAAATCACTAACCATTGGTAAGTTAAGCCTTAATATAACCCACTTGCCACTTAGATTAGAATTTCAATGCAAACTTCAGTTAAATTATTACTCGGTATTCAATTAAAGGATGATACCAATATAGTCTGTGCAGTGAGGTGATGTCAGTCAGTCCACGGATATTGTTTTTAAATGCTGGAAGACTGCTAATTCACAGACTCGCTCTTCTTTATTATGTCATTTAAAGGTTCACCTGAACAACTGGAATTAGTGATCGGTGGTGAAGCTGCTATATGGAGTAAATATGTGGATGAAACAAATCTAATACCTCTAGCCTGGTGAGAATATTTTACAAAACAGTTTCTCTGTTTACTCACTGAATTCTGTATGCATTCATTGTTATTATTAGTATTAGCCCATTGAGTTCCTAGTGGGAGACACATCTCCATCGTATTCTCTTAGTCACCATATTTTCCAGCCAGCTCCACGTCTTCTCGCAAGCTTTTATATCCTCTTCGTATAGTCCTTAAACCTCATTCTCAAAAGCCCACCTCGTCGCCTCCTCTAAGTGTTCCATTCGAAGGTTTATTGAATGAAGTCACTCAATGGTCTCTTCGATGTATGTTCACTCCATCTCTAGTACCTTCTGCATACTGTTTTATTCTTTGGTTCTCTGCTTGAACAGCTTGTTGCTTAACATTTCTGACTAGCTCCCTGGCTTTCATTATCCAGTGTGATGCAATATGTTTTATTTTCCTTCACGTTCCCCAGTGGAACATAGGGCTTCAAGCTAGTGGCTTGAAGTTTCTGTAGCAGTGTTTACTTTTACAGGATCAGGTTGCTAGCCTCATGCCCGACCTTTCCTCTTTACCGGCTTTTTATTACTGATTTGGCGAGGTAAAGGAGTGCGTCGGCCGGGAATCGAACCCCGGACCATGTGCATGGTCGGCGAGCGTCCTAACCACTGTGCCACCGACACTACGATGCAATATGTGATGCAGAATAATTAAATCGAAGATGGAAACTTGGATGAAATGAGGATTCGAAGGCTGTCCCCCTGAAATCAACTTACATAAACCTTTTGGGGATATGCTGACATTTTATCCTCTGTATACAATTTATTAACTAAGAAAATTATCCCAATTTAATATACCCACTGAAATAAATTCAATGCAGGTCAAATGGATTTAATGAGCAAATGGGTTTCAAGTTATGATTTACTTATCTTCTTGTTGCAATAATCCGAACGAATAAAAATCACGTAAAGGCTCGTTTGATGGTGACTAGCAGTAGAATCCATCAGATGTGTTCTGTCTTATTTTGAACTTGTCAACCTAGATGTATTACTTTAATAAGACTCGAATTCAACATCAGTAGTATCAAATGCCAAAGCATAACTAACCAGGCTACTGGGCCAACATCGCTACCTCGTAACCGTCGAGTATTATTTGAAATGATATATCTGTGATCGAATTGTCTGGCAAAAGAAGCTAGTGTGGCGAAATGACTCTGAAAAATTCGGTTCATATATATATGATATATGCATTAAATAAAGTATAATAATATTTCAATAGTTTACAGACAGTGGTAAGGTTTGTTCTTGGTAATATTTCGAGCAAAAAGCAGAAAAACTAAATATAACGAAGGAAGAACTAAAAGCACTTCAAGACATGAAAGCAGACAAATCCACTGTCATTACTGAAGCAGACAAAGGAAACACAACAGTACTACTTAACAAAACGACATATAATGAAAAGATGAATAAACATTTACAATCTGGACCCTATACTCCAATGACGAAATCAGCAGAAACAGTCACAAATGAAACAATGAAAGAAACAGCAAAAGTACTTAGACAGATAAAAGAAGTAATTAGTAAGCCAAAATGGTTTCAAATTATGCCAAAATCATGTAATATACCTAGGATATAGGGCAAGATAAAATTGCATAAAGAAGGATATCCAATAAGACCGATTGTAGACTTCAGAAACACACCAACCTATAGGCTGTCAAGATTTCTCTCAAGAATACTAAGACCGACGAGAGACAATTCAAAAGCTAGAATTTGAATTAGTGAGACGACTAAAAACCACTAAAATAGAAGAAGAGGAAATGTTAGTCAGCTTTGATGTAAACAGTCTTTATACTAAAATACCCATTCAAATGGCCGTGAATGCACTGAAAACGAGACTAAAAGGAGATAATGACCTAAAAGACGGAACACAGTTATCCGTAGAGGAGATAATAAGAGGGGGTGGAACTCTTTCTGACAATAACATATTTTACATTTGAAGGAAAAATATACCAACAAAATGAATGAGTAGCCATAGGATCGCTAATCTCACCAATAATAGCTGACATATTCATGGATTTTGGCGAAGAGAATGCACTCAAACGATTCAGTTCATGACTAAAATGTCGGTGGAGATATGTAGACGACAGGTTAGTAATAATGAAAAAGAATAATGTTGAGAAACTCTTCTCACACATAAACAGTCATGTCGACTCAATGAAATTCACTATGGAAATAGAGAATGAAATTGGGGAACTACCTATGTTAGACTGTAAAATACAAAGAGTAACAGATGGTAGCATAAAAACGACGATATATGGAAAAACTACACACTCTGGAAGATTCCTTGATTATCACTGAGCTCATCCACTTATGGTAAAACGAGGATTAATATAACGTCTTGCAGAGAGAATTTGCAGACTTCCGACAACACCAGAGGACCAACGTGAAGAAATAAACATCCTATTCAAAATGTTACTCGACAACAACTACCCAAAAGAATTTATCAAAGATAATATAAAAAAGAAAAAAATAGGGTAAAACTGGAGAATGACAAGATGGAAGAATGCAAACAAACAGTCACAATACCATACAAAAATGGCACATCAGAGGCAATTCGAAGAAACCTCAAAAATATTGGGATTCGCACGACGTTCAAACCGACGAATCTAATTAAAAATAAAATAAATCAACTGAAAGATCCCATAAAAATGATGGATAAAAACAATTTGATTTACAAAATATCTTGTGCCGAGTGTCCGACTAAATATGTGAGTCAAACGTCTATAGCATCACTGAAAATAAGGGGGAATGAACATAAACGCCTAACTAAAGATCAACACTAGCTTACAAGAATTTAGAGAAAAATTTATCTCTAGTTGCACATGCATGGGACAAAAAGCAAAATATCGATTGGAACAATGTTTGTACTCTGAAAACTAATATGAACAAATGGAAAGAGAGACTTATAACAGAATCTATATTCATTAAGGTCACACCGGATACATGTAACAAGAGTGACTCAGTACAACTGTCAACAACCTGGAATATAATTCTGAATACACAAAAATGAATGAGCAAAAATAATGAACTATATATATGAGTACAAATCATAAATGTGTGAATTAAAAAACGTAGCAATTCGAAAAGTGGTTTGAACACCGGCAGTAATTTTGCTCGAAATATTACCAAGATCAAAACTTTTCAGTGTGTAAGCTACTGGAATATGATTATACTTTATTTGATCTAATCCACAATGCTCAAACGTTTTACTGGCATAACATACATTTAAAACAGTTACTCCCTTTTATAACTTTTGATAGCATTATTAGAAGACGGAGATTATCTGAAAAATGTGTTGTAATTGCGCTATACATTTCCGACAATCTGATCACACATTTACTTGTCAAGTCAATATACATGGAAAAGTTAAATTAAACAAAGTGACAAAAAAAGAATTAAGAATAATTAACACAAACGTTTGGTAATCCAATCAAATAAGGATTACCAAGGTAGATTAAGAGTAATAACAAACTGTTTTTGAATACACAAGAGGGGCTTAAGTTTATGGATGGCTATAGCCTCAGCGTATTTCAGTAAACGTCCTTGACCGTTTTTATAGATGACCTTAAAGGCTGAGTTAACATCAACCTTATGGTTCATTTCGATTAGATGTTTAGCTATAGACGAAGTTGGTAGTCTGACACCTGCATCTATTGGCTTGTCACAATTCATCTGTTTTTCTAACCAGTTTGGGATATGCTCCTCCACCCTCATGTGCAACGCGCGATTACTCCTCCCTATGTATGTATGTCCACACATACACGAAAATTGGTAAATTGTGTGGGATGTGATATAACCACTTGTGCACTTTTGAGATTTCCAGTGAAGCATATTTTTTGCTTTTTCCACAATTACAAGTTGGGCTGCACAGTAGGTTCTACGGTTGATGGAATTCAACCTTTGTCTCAAAATCCTACTATTTATTTCCTCATATAATGTGTGTGTGGACATACATACATAGGGAGGAGTAATCGCGCGTTGCACATGAGGGTGGAGGAGCATATCCCAAACTGGTTAGAAAAACAGATGAATTGTGACAAGCCAATAGATGCAGGTGTCAGACTACCAACTTCGTCTATAGCTAAACATCTAATCGAAATGAACCATAAGGTTGATGTTAACTCAGCCTTTAAGGTCATCTATAAAAACGGTCAAGGACGTTTACTGAAATACGCTGAGGCTATAGCCATCCATAAACTTAAGCCCCTCTTGTGTATTCAAAAACAGTTTGTTATTACTCTTAATCTACCTTGGTAATCCTTATTTGATTGGATTACCAAACGTTTGTGTTAATTATTCTTAATTCTTTTTTTGTCACTTTGTTTAATTTAACTTTTCCATGTATATTGACTTGACAAGTAAATGTGTGATCAGATTGTCGGAAATGTATAGCGCAAATACATCACATTTTTCAGATAATCTCCGTCTTCTAATGGTGCTGTCAAAATTACATACATTAACATAAAACCAAAAACATGAATAAACAGGGCTATAAATCATGTTCTCAGTTGGTATTACACCGAATCACATAGTCAGAATGTCTTATATTCAAAAGCTGTTCACACAAAACAAACAGCATGTTATAGCTGTTGATAAAACGAGCAATCTAAATGAGCCTGTGTGCACTAAACATTTCGGATGAGCTAAATGAGTTTTCGTTCTAAGAATTTGGCACTTTTATCATTTACAAAATACTTCATCTATTCAAATGCCCAAATCTGCATCAAGTAAATTGTAGACGAAAGAAATTCGATGACAGAGAATAAGCTGCCAGTCAAAATAATTTCATCTTATTACACTAATTAACCTCAGCTTACACCGGTATTGATATTCAACATTGGTCATCGATAGTCACTGCTTTAGTGGAGCTATTTTTGCTCATAATTGTGGTAAGTTAGTTTCCCCTTGCGCTATCATTAAATGGGTAGGTATGTACCTCTTGCTGAAAACAACTACTTGTTCTACATCACAGAATCTCTGACCCTTCTTTTTCTTGTTAGCCCTACTTAGTCTGACGTTATTTAAGTACAACTAGGTCTATAAATGACAGTGGTGTAGGTCAATTACCCTGTCGATTGACAGTCTTTTCCATTGTTTATACTGATAAACTCGTATGTCCTAGTTTGAGAGTTTCCATCAGCACATACCCATGGTTATAACGAGGACCAAAAACAGGACATTTAGATTATGACATAAGCTGACTGACCATTCACCCACTGAGACGTACTCCAATGACCTTTGGATTCTGACTTCTGCCGACTTTCAATGTACAGTACCAACCGTCAGTGGTTACAGTTAAATTCATGGATAACTTTATTCTCCTTAGCGGCTGAAGGGTAAACTGAGTCGTTTCGTGACCTAAATGGCATGGATTCGATTCCTTGTGGGGTCATGGGTGCACACTGTCAAAGAGTCGCAAACCAGGCCGAAACAGCTTCCCAATACTTCCTGGTTTATAGTGTTTATCTAACTGTTGTCTTTTTATGACGTCATGTGAAATCGATCAAATACTTTTAAACCAACACTTCGAAATCATGTTAACATTCATTCTATCGTAACTTAATACATAGGTGCACAATAGTGTTAACGTTCTTTAAAGGCACTTCTGTGAGACAACGTTATCCATTCTCCTTCATCTCCCAAGTTTTTCCGGGTTTCTCAGACTCAGACCTACTGAAATTTATTCATAATCGGTACGTAGCCAGTTTCGTTACTATGACGACTGAATTTCATAGTGTCACTTAACTAGCTCAGTATTTCCTCATAACATTTTTGTCCGCATAAATCAATTCCAACAGGACTGAATAAACTGTCTGGAGAATGAACGTGTATGGAGATGAAAATTAAAGTTGTATTCTGCATATTTCTCTCTCTATCTCATTACTTTTCCTTTGATTTACTGAAAAAATCAAGGCCAAGAGGAGCTGCTGTAGCTGAACGTCTTTGGTCAGAAGATATTGGAGATGTACAGGATTTTCGTCAACGATTAAGTGAACTTCAGTGTAGAATGCTTAAGTGAGTTTTGTATTTAACCAAGATTTTCTGTGCATTTATTTCAAAAATTACACTCTCACATATGCCTTTAGCACATCATAATTTTTTATGTCTTCTGATGTTGAATAATCTCTAGAAATGTCCTAAAATATACATCTCCTCATTATGCATTCATACGTGTAATCTTCCCATTTATGTATTTCGAGTGGATTCATCAAACACAAATACATGAACAACTTGGATGGATACGTTCATATCATCATGATTATTAACTTGAATTTACTCATTTGGCGAAGTATTTCAACTATTTCAAGCTCCTTTTAACTTTGCAGATGACTTTAAATGAATACTCCGCGCATAATGAATGGCCTGTGTTGACTATATGTTCAATTATAGCACTCTTTATTGATCCACTGTTACCTTCTAGTAGCCAATCAGGATAATGTTCTTTGACTCTTTTGGATAAAACACTCATCGAACGACCTATTTACCTCGCTCAGCATGAGTGAGTAAATTGGAAGATGCACATAGAAGTAGTCAGCTGTGATAGTTTATCTTTGGGGTTGTTGAAGAAGAATGGGCGGCTTGAGAATACGAATCGTAACTTAGCATCAGGGAATGTTTTTTTCAGGGAGTTAGGTATTCTTCTGCTTAAGATATTGGCCAGAAGGTCGCATTTGAACGCCCGTGATTCATGTATAGCATCTTCTTAGGCAAAGAGATGGGTTGTTCTTTGTTGATTTTCAGCTTTATATGTTTATCTATAAAGCGTGATGGATAGCCATTCTCAAGTAGTGTCTTCCTCAAAAGAGTGATCTCCTCTTCTGCTGATTCGGAGCTGCATATTCTGAGGATTTTGATGGCAAGAGATATCAAGTTATGATTGAAGTTGATTGGCACCCAACTGTAAACGTTTTTCAGCTGGCAGTTTCACGTAGTCTTCCGATATATTGATCTCTTTAGAGTTCCATCAGTCGTTTTTGTTAGTCAGATGTCCAGAAATGAGATTGTCTCTTCGGTTTCTGCTTCAATTGTAAATTTGATGGCTGGGTGGCAGCTATTAAAAACTTGAAGGACATTATCCAGGTCACATTTGTTATCACAGATGATAAGTGTCATTGACGTACATTTTGTACACAGAGAAGTTGCCTATTGTCGATTTCAACAGAACATTTTCCAAACTCACCATGAAAATATCTGCAGGTAACGGGCCTAAAGGCGAACCCATAACCATAAAATCTTGCTTCTATAAATAAAACCATTGAATGTGAATAGGACGTTCGAAATGCATCTGAGTAGAAGTCCTTTTCATATCGTTCTCTTCCAAGTACTTGCATAAGAAACAAATTGTTTCCGTAATCGGGATATTTGTGAAGAGAGATTCTACATAGAGTGATATCATGCGGTTGTCGCCCACTTTCACATCTTTGATACAGTTGACGAATTCAAACGTGTTTTGAAGAGATTATTTTGGAATTTGTTCTCTAACAGACTGTAGGAGTTCTGCCAGCCATTTTGCACTTGGATGGTTCGGAGATCCGGACATGTCAGAAATAGGGCGCAACGGAAGTCCTTGTTTGTGGGTTTTGGGTAATCCATATAGCTGGGGTATTATGGAATCGGTTGGTTGAATGCTGTCGTAGATCTTTTCAGAGATAAGTTGATCACTTTTAAGCTTTTTCAATATCCCAGTGAGTTGCATTTCTGTTATTTCTGTTTCGTCTTTCTCTTTGTTAGACGCAGTGAACTTATTGTTGTCTGAAAGAATTGCTATCATTTTATCAATATAGTCCTTTCTATTCATTGGACAAAAATATCAGAAAGGTTGTATCACAGGTTAATGAAATGATTAGTGTAAAGACAGATTAACATATAGATAATAAAACTTTGTGCAGAAAGTCATTCACACCCAAATACTTTGGGAAAGGCATTTTTATCATTCAAGAAGAACTCCTACAAAAACTCACTTCACATTGAAGTGACCTAAGAAGACGTTGTCAAGAAGGATAATAAAAACTTCACAGTTTAACTATTTAGTCCAGACGTAATGGTTCTCGAAACGGCTTTTCCTGATTACATCTTATTTAAGAGAACGTTCTAGCCTGTAGTAGAAGAGGCAATTAGAAAAAGTTAAAGTCTGTCAGGTTGCTAAATACCATCGATAAGAAGCCGCACTATTTGGTTTCTGGTTTATTGGTATTCATCAGCAGGGAGTTTTTTTTAAACTGGAGATACTGATGTTGCTTAATAGATTCATACTTATTCCACCCAGTGTCACAATGTGATATATCGGTATCGTGACCATCACCTCAAATAATAATGATGCCATCCACATGTCAACCATACAACTGAAAATTATCAGTGGTCAACTTAAGTGAACCATTCTCGAGGCTTTCCATGAGGCGGTCTACTAACAGTAGACCTGAGGGAGTTACAATTATAATCCCACTTTATTTCTTCAAACAACGTCGTTGAATGTGAACTGCGCATTAATCGTACATTTCAGTAGTAGTTATTTTAAACGAACTGTTGGTAATCCGATATTCCCCTGACTTTCGTCTTTATATTCACTAATATTAAAGAAAGTTTTCATGAAGGGAACGTCGGCGGATAGTGATTCAGTGTCAAGAGAGAGCATATTCTTCTTTGGTACAATGATATCTTGTGTACAGTTGATGAAGTGAAAGATTTCGCGAAGCAAATGGTGGCACATATGTTTTCTTACAGGTTCTAAAATATCATCTAGCTTTTTAACAGTTGAATGGTTTGGGGAACCTAACAAGCCTAAAATTGAACTCAGTGGGATACCGGCTTTGAGTATTTTCGGCAAACAATATAGTCCTGATGATATTGATCCTGTTGGTCGAATGTGATCACAGATAAATAAACAAAAACTTTCACTTCAGTTTTAATTTTCTGTGGAAATGCAATTCTGCCTTTCAAGGGCTTCAAGCTTTGGAGTCTCAGTAAAGATGCCATTGTTTTTCAAAGAGTAGTGAGGTCGCTAGCTTCGTACTTCCTTTTTTACTGAGCTTACTACTGGCTAATTAAGCCGGCATAGGTTGGGAACTGATCGTCGAACCTCATGCATGAGTAGCAGAACTACTGACTCACATGAACACAGTTGAGGTAGACCTTTATCCAACAGGATAATTTCTGTCTGAAAACGTAAAATAAAGTGCTATCAGCTACACTGTTTTAAAATGGTTATCAGATGGAGTGTATGGACAAACTTCAGTTTTCCGATGACAATGAGGCAACCCTGAATATCCTTCTATTGGTAAAGTACGACTGGTAGAAGGCGTGGGGGTAGCAAATATCCTTGCAGTGGCAGGATTCAAATAACCGACAGCCCCCTAATTCCTTCGCATATCATTTTACTAGCCCTGACATTAAAAGCTGAATTACGAGGGTCAACTGCTGTCCAGGTCACCATTTCACTAATTATTATTATTATTCCCTTGGGTTCCGAGTGGAACATAGGACTTTCTTCTATTTTCTGTCATCCTCTTAAGCTGGTTAGCTCTACGAATGCACATAATATCTCATTTTCTCCTTTCCACACGATCTCCCCCAGGTCATCCTCGCACCGACGACCCACTCATCCCTTCCCATTGAGATTCCAATCGAGAAATGGCCTGGAGCACGATGTCATTTGTCGGTCTCCTCAATACATGCCCCATCCATCTCCATTTTCTCCTTCATATTTGTTGTGCAATCGGCTCCTGGTTGATTCATTCATTGTCAGAGTTTCACCTGACTAATTCTTTCTGGCCATTCGATCTTCAGTATGGATCAAACGTAGCTGTTCATAAAAGTTTGCAACCTGTTGGAATTCCTCTTTGTTACACGTCAAGTTTCCTACCCTTATAGAAGAACTGACCGACTTGACATTGGTACTGAAAATTCCAATCTTGTTCTTTATGCCGAATAAGTAAAGAAGATCTCCAAACCGCCTTCTGGTTGATGAAGGTACATCTTGCTTTTCCGATTCTGGCCAACTTTGACATCTTTATCCATTCCGCAGGTGTATTTGAAACCGTGTTTCCTAGATAAGTGAAGGAAGCAACCTCTGCCAAATATATCCCATCAGGGGTGATTGGTGGTTGTTGTTGTTGTTGTCACTGCTGCTGTTCGTTGATGATCTTCATCACCTCCGTCTTCTCTATGTTCATCTGCAGTCCTGTCTTCGCTGCCAGACAACATCTTCTGCCAGTTTGTTGGTTTTCGCCTGCAAGTCTTCTAGTCTGTGTGACATTAAACATAAATCATCCACGCGTGAAATCCAGATCTTCTAGAGTCTTCTTATCGGTGGTTCAGCGTATTCCTGTCTTCTCACTCCCAATGCACAGTCTGCCGCATAATCCATTCCACCACAATTCAGAATATCATAGGGGTAGTAGTGGGAAGCCTTGTCTTACACTTGTATGCACTTCTAACGCCTTGCTGAGGTTTCCGTTGTGGATCACCTGACACGAGGCATTGTCGTATAATTGCTGAATGAGGTTGGTAAAGACTTGGGCATCGCACACCATTTTGTTGAAATAGTTTCCTAATTACTGCTCAGTCAACGCTTTCTGTCAAAGGAATTCTCGAAGTCGACGAAGGAAAGTTAGACAGAGGTTTAACTGCCATTCTATGCTTTGTTCGGTGATGACCATGCAGAGAGCTGAAATTTGATGAGCATATGATTTACCTTTCCTGAATCCAGCTTGTTCCGGTAGGTGGTGGAGTTCTGTGTCCAGTGCATGCTTTATTCTCTCCAGGATGAAGCGATTCAGAGCCTCTCGACCCATGATGAGTTCTTTTCCTGTATTATCTGCTCCCGGTTCGGCTTGCATTCATATCGCCCACAAGGATTTTGATGTCACCATTTGGCATGTTGTCCATTACTGTTTGCAGTTGTCTGTAAAAATGCTCCTCCTTTTCTTGTTCCGGGTTGTTTGTAGCACTATGCGTAGCATTGGATTATTGCAACCCTCCTTCCTTTGGAGTTGAATCTGTCTGTCATAATCTTGGATGAAGTTGGTTCCCGCTGCACTAGAGCTTTGGCTGCCATTGGTAACATCATGACAGCCACTCACTACCTCAGTGTGCTTGTGGTTGTCGTCTGGGTGACCAGACCGGGGTGGATTACTGACTCTCCAGTTGACAGTTTTGACAGTCCACATCCATTACATCTGCTGTCACAGATTACCAGCACTTCTATGAAATATCTTCGCATTTCTTTGGCTACCTGAGCAGGTTTCCCAGTCACCCTCTTACATTTTACGCACGTTCCACGTCCACATTCTTATTCTTGCTTTCATTGAGAGAACACATATCGGTTGGCTGACTGGCTTCCCGAAGCCAGCGTTTCACCAGTACACTGTGTCATTTTGCCTCTCCGGTTCCAGTGGAGAATAAATTTCTATTTGAATTTTCTGTATTTTTAATACATACTTTATGCGTTGAAGTTTCACAAGCAGTTTGATAGGTTTAGTGGTGTGGGGTCGCTAGCCCCACGCCCAACCGTCCCGGTCTTGGGACCGGCTGAAAAACTAGGAGCTAGTTTACTAGACGAGGTTTACATTTCACTAAAATAATCGTAAATTATCCTAAGTGATAGTTTGAAGAAATGACAAACTGACTGTCCGTTTAACACCTCATCAGCTAATTTGGGATGTTTCAGCTTATCACACATCTTCTCAGAAGGACAGAGACAGACGGTGATTTAAGTGTAGAAGAAGAAGTTTAACCTTTATACTTCTATTAAACCTAATTGTTGAGTGGCAGTTTAGTAATTGAAAAACTACCAGTGCGTATCCTGCAGAAACTCGGATATTTAAATTTCGTATGGTACAATTCTCAAACCTACTGAACATTCCATGTCCTATTTAGAGTGACTTAACAGTCGTTGTGTAAGTAATTAAAAAGATGAAGTCGGAAAAGTGTCTTATGACGACTGAAAATAACCGGCTCTCGTCTTAGAATAACCGCGAAAATTCTTAGTAACCAACGTATTACATTATAAAATGAATTCACTTCATAAAGAACAGCCATCAGAAAAGATAAACCATTTTAGTAGAAAAAACCCAACTTCCAGTTATTCCTTCCTTCTTATGGTAGCAACATTTCTAAACGGTTCAGTTTAAACATAAACGCCTCCAACCAACATGTCAAGAATACCACAGTCAAACCAAGCTAACATACATCTAAACAATTTGTGGTTTGTATTTAACTGGTGGACGGGGACTAGCAGTGGAATCCAGGATGCGCATTTCGTCCTATTTGGGACTCGTTATCTGGATGTATCTGCATTTCTCAGTGAGTGACGATGTTCCCACCGAGGCTCGAACCCAGTGCCCATGGTTTCAAACGCCAAAGCGTTATCCACTAGACCACTTGGGCCACGAGAGCCACCTCTTGTGCAACGGGCCATATTGATTTAATAAAATTTTGGATTTTCCCGTCGATTGATTGGACCGAAGTGCTCGTCAAAGCATCTGCTCAAGAAGCCGACATGTCAACCTGAGACCGAGCACTTCGGTCCAATCAGTCGATGGGAAAATCCAAAATTCAAATAAATTTATGGTTTCCCAAACTCCCAACAAATGTTACACAGTTTTATTTAAAATTAATTCTATTCAAACATTTTATGGGTGACATTTCAAAGACAGTAAACCCTAACTCTGCTACAATAAATTGACATGACAATGTACCGTTTATAGGCATTCCGTCTATGTTGTTCAATGAGAGCTGTGCCTTTTAACCAACAGTAACTCACCTCTCTGATTTGATAAACACCGAGATAGTTATATGTGTTTTGTTTTTCTGAATACATTTCAGAAATAGAATTAAAGGTCATCCAGTAAATGGACCAGGATTTTGTCCACCTTAAAACTACCAAACTGGACAACCGTGATGTTAACTTTCTACATTCTATACCGATGAGAAACAGTGTGAATAAATTTTCTTACATCCACTCTGCATAAATACTTGTTCTGTGTCTAATTAATTGATTTATCATTCTGATTTCTGCTCAAACATTGTGTTTGTGAGGAGTTAAATAATTTCATGCTATATTCTGTTAAAAAATAAGATCAGTTAAAGAACTATCCAAGATTTAGTCGCGTTCGACAGCTATTTGGTTATAGTTTCCGACTGCTCAACAGTAAACATCTGTAACCTATCCAGAAATCAAAGTCAGCATACTGAGATGACGAGTGTTAAAAAAATCAAACGTGACATCGGTCGTATGACCAGTGGAGTCTTCCATTTCGCGTGTGAGAATGGGTAAACACCGACGAAGTCATGCTGTCCAGCAAATCAGCAGAACTTAGAATTTAAGGATCATTCGATTCCACCCCACTATCTGAATATAAATATTCTAGATTTTTGACTTGAAGGTTCTGGTTATGATCTCTGGAGACGTTGTGGGTCCTCATCTACTGAAAAGACCCAAAATGAAAGGAAATGGCAGTCTAGCATACCTGAGATTTCAATACTTCTCTAGGCGATGTCAACTTACCACGATATCAACCCTGTATTATGACTAACAAATTAGGAAAACCACCAACACCGTAGACTAATGACAGTTGATAAGCAACTCAACTTACAAATTCTGTCACCCATCTGATCTCTACTCCTACAAACCGGTTGACTGACTGCGATCATGATTCTCAAAATATAAATTTCAAATTGATATGGGTTTAATCAGTAATTCGATTTCAGTTGCATTTAGTGCATAAATTTCCCTTAGCGATTCTGAACAGTAACAGTAGTATGTGCAATTATGTATGTAATGCAGCCAAGCAACTTGGAGATTAATCAGATTCATCTTCAGGATGCATACATTTAGTGGAAAGCCTTCTACTGTAGACGCACTCACCAGGAGACGCTCTTCCAGCATTTTCTGAACATCTAATGTTTTAAATGGTGCTGTGTGTCTACAAGTTGCCTGACAACTGCACTGTTTCACTATTTACCGCTCAAAGGACAGCTTTCTTGACATGTGCGGAAAAGGCGGAAAGACAAACTGCAGTTACACTTTCTAGTGTACTTCCCACCTCAAGTGCGTGCAAATTCATAAACGAAACTGCCACTAATATCAACACTCTATTTATGCAATATGGCTAGGCTTAATTAATATTCGATACGGCGTTAAAGTATATCTGATGGGAAGACTCTTTTCGATGTCTTTGTGATCACTAAAAAATGTTCCTTTCTCGAGTGGTAACACTGTTATCACAATCATTTCTTTTGAAAATGATCCCACAGAATTCTGACTGACGAAACCGTATCAAATTAAAGTACCTCCAAATCATCACACCAACCAACTCAGCAGCAAATTTCAAAGTTAATGACTCCAGTATAAATATTTTCACGAGTTTAAATCGTTTGATGAACGACAATTATCTTTATTGAGTGTTAACTACTGAACAATATTCGCCGATTGTGTGGTATATCCAGTTGATCTCGGAGGTCATATTTCCCGTCAACCTCAGTTCACCAATGAAGTTGGTTGTTCCCATTTACGTGCTTCAGTGCAACAGTGATGAAAATAACGAAAACACTATTCGCAAGTGTAGCCAATTTTGTCGAATCAAAACTATTTATTACACATGAGTGTTTGAAACACTTCCAAACTGACATGAGTTAGACAATCACTGGATACCAAGAAGGATTATACAAGTGCTTCACTTTAATTCACAGCTCTTCAGTAGTTGACACTGAGGTCAACTGCTGACGAAATCTACTTCGACGACTTTCGAATCTCAATATATCAAGGCTTCAAATGATTGTTAACTGAATTCCATCACCTCCTTCCTACTCTCATTCAACCGAGTATCATCACAACTTATTATTTTCAGTTTCTGTGATACAGTGTTGTCAGAAATGTTTTCATTATAACGTCATCACTAGTCGATTTATACTAAGGTGTAATAAGAGATATTTTGTAAAATAAGTTAATCGGATTATATCCAACTCGTACTTCAACACACTTCACTTCAACTTAGAAAGATCATTGAGTCTTAAAGAGTGAGAAACTTCATTTACTTTGTTGACTATCTAATAATTTTATGTGTACTTTGTAACACACTGAGTTGTTACACGCTCAGATATGAGTTTATCAACTTATTTAGAGGTGTTGTTTTGTTATACTTCAAAAGCGTAGACATATGTCACGAGATACTTGAATATGCACTTTGAACATATCGAATTAAGGCGCCACGAATTGTTTTTTTTTCTGAAGAGCATTTGTGAATATTTTGGTTGAGTAGAATCTTTACATAAATCAATAGTTATTCAAAGCATGAGATGTTAGAGTGAGAATAACAAATGTAGCGAAATAGAGATTATGATCTCAATTGTATTATTCCATAGATTGTTTCCAAGTGCTTACAATCTTAATAATACTGAGATATATAAATTACAAAAGCAAAGGTTTCAAAGTACACCTTTGTCGTGTTGACAATGAGTTTTTTTACTTAAACTTTGATTAACTTAATTCCGGAAAGGTTTAAGTGGCTGATTTATTAACTGTCATGGGAATGACTAATTATAGAAAAATCTGAAAAATATTTCCAATGAAGAGGAGGGTAGAGCTCAAATTTTTGGATGGAAATAAACTTCTCTAAAGGATGTCAGATCGTGACGCAGTTCGGAATCAATCAACATCCCTAAGCCGATGCTGGAAACTATCTAGGTAGAAGAAATTTGGTGGATGATAACTAACAGCAGAATCCACGATTGGTATCTTGTCTTATTTGGGAGCCATTATCTGTATGTACCACTAAGTGATAACTCGAACCCAGTACCCATAGTTTCAAATGCTAAAGCGTTATGCGCTGGATCACTTGAACCACGAGATCTACCTCTTGTGCAACGGGTCTTACTAATTATTTAATTTAATTTGGACTTTCCCGTTGACTGGTTCGACTGAAGTACTTGGCCTCTCTTGACATGGATGGTGAGCAGCAGTGGAATCCAAGATGCGCATTTCGTCATATTTTTTGGCCGACATGTCAACAATAGCCGAGCACTTCGGTCCAATCAATAAAAATAATAATAAACTTTTATTTCAGACAGTATGCGAACACAGTACAGAAATTCTCAGCCTATTTAGTTCCAGAGTATTTTCTCTTCATACGGGATTTACATGTGAAGTGATAATCTGAAGCATATCACGCGATGCAGTGTTGTGACATATGAGCAGAGAACCAATTCTGTAAGTTTTTTCTTCATCTCTTTCAAAAAATGCACAGCGTTTAGTTAGAAGCTAATCATTTAAGCACGGCAGTTCATGTAGTGGGCATCTGATATAACTGAATGATTAAAACAGCGGGAAATTAAGTAGAGTTTAGGCATTTTGATAGACAAAAATCCCGGTAGTCCAAGGATTAAGGTAGACTGACTTAAATAATAACTAGACGGAGTTTGCCAATAAAATAGGTTACGTAAGCGCGAGGAATATTTTAGAAGATAAAATGACTGAACAAAGAATATTCTTCTCAATAATTTCCTTATTAGATTTTTAAATTGTGTAAACATATTCTTGACGTCATCTATGTGTTCTTGTTAAATAACACTGAGTAATTAATATTAGTGGATATGTGATAATATTCATGAATATTACACTGAGTTGAATATCAGCTGAAATGTAGAAGAAAACTTATGAGACTACTAACGATATTCAGAACAGTAATAACTTGCAAATGGTTAAAAGAGAAAGGAAAATAGTCAGATTTTTATAACCACGTTTTGATATCCAAGGTAAGAATAATCACATTGCAAATTTCTTCTATACATATAGATTCGTCTTATTCAGGTGGACACCGATGTCTTCAGGTAGAAGTCGAAATCACATGTCAAGATTAAGATTAGTCGGAATGCATTAGACAACTCTGAATATCTTGTTAAAATCACCTTTACATTCACTAAGTAGGATGTGAGCTAAACCAGAGATAAGAATGTACCTTGTTTGTCGTATAAATAGTCAACTTTTTTAATACTTAATAAATTCGGCAGACTGCTTAAAACTTGCGCTACCAAAAACTTCCATCACTATGTTGCGTATCGTTTCTCTCGTTTCTTTTGTTTTTAATCGATTAGAACAGATAATTACGTGCACTTACTGTCAAGCTTTAAACTAACCTAGTTTATAAGCTCTCTATTTTTCTAGCTGGTTTCAATCCCTGATAAAGAGGGACGGTTGGACGTGAGGCTAGCAACCCCATACCACAAAAGCTATCAAACTGCTAGAGAAACGTCAACGCACAAAATAGACATTAAAAATACAGAAAATTCAAATAAGAATTTATTCTTTGCTGGAATGGTGCACATGAAATGACACAGTGAACTACCGAAACCCTGCCTTCAGGAAGCCAGTCAGTTAGCCGATGTTTCTTCTCTCGATGAAAGTAAGAATAAGACTGGGGATTTGGAATGTAAGTATAATGTACAAAGCCGACCCGGAAGCTTCCCATGTAGCCAAAGAAATACGAAGAAATGATACGAAAGCCTAGATCGTGAATGCAATCAAGCTGCTGAACACCAGGCGGAAAAGTGACAGGGTCAGATGAAATTTCTCTCTTCCCGGACCCAGGGACTGTGGCAAATGTGCTCAAGCCATCATTGCAGAAGGTTAGGAAGAAAAGAATGTGAGGAGCTTACAGATTTGGGGGAAGACTGGCTACCAGGTCAAGCTACCAAAGAAGGGTGATTTAAACCTCCCAACACAAAAGCTGACTTGGAATAATGCTCTTCTCTACGTCAAGTAAAATAGTGAATCGCGTCATTCTGGAGAGAATAAAGTATGCACTGGAAACAGAACTCCGTCAGTCGGAAGAAGCTGGATTCAGGAAAGGCGAATT